TACTAAAATATATTTTAGTTTATGTTATACTATATCATTAATATTAGATCATATATATTAGAAGGGTGCGGTTTGTATAGAAACTAGGCTCCAAACAATCAAATTAGAACCTACTTTCAAAAAAGTGTCGAGAAATATGTTGAAAATCTTTGTAATAGCCTTAAAATATATTTTCATTTTTATTTATAAAGTTTAAAGCTTCAAAAATCGTATAGATCGACATATCTATCAAAATCTTGAAAATTGACGGTCCAAAATGCGCTAAAAAATACACTATTTCCACAACTTGAAGTCTATTTTTTTCTCATGTCCATGCATCTTTGATGTCGAGATGATCAATTTGAGCATATTTGGGTATCAAACCAACCTTTTCTAGTGAAAATTTTGAGATAGACTCTTATTTGATTGTTTAGAGCCTCAGCTCTATATAAACTTTTCCCATATTAGAATACATAATATTTGTATAACATAAATTTATATAATATTATATGATATATGATATATTAATGGAAAAATTGCTAAAAAACCCCAAAAAATATACTTTTTAGACACTCTACCCCCACCCTAAACTTTCCTCACTTATTTTTCTCAAAAACCATCTTTTATAACTTATACCCCCAACTCAAAAAGTTACATCTTTTTTGACGAAAATACCCTAATGAAAAAATTGCTAAAAACCCTCAAAAATATACTTTTTAGACATTCTACCCCCACCCTGAACTTTCCCCACTTATTTTTCTCAAAAACTATCTTTTATAACTTATACCCCCAACTCAAAAAGTTACATCTTTTTTTACGAAAAATACCCTCCCTGCACATGACAAATCACTTTCGGATCCCAATAAAAGGAAATGTTGAATCGCATTTGTACAACGCCAAACTGCTCAATCTGGCGTACTTCAAAACGCTGGACTGCCCTTATAAAGTTCAGGAGTGCGATATCAAAACACCAGACTATCCCAATTCCGGAGTGCGATATCAAAACTGTCCCTTCAAAATGCCGGACCGCAACTTCAAAATGTCAGACCGTAACTTCCAAATGTCAAACTGCCCATTCCAGCAAAAAAAAAAAATTGGCCGAACTGCCACCATGAAACTCCGAACCACCCATTCTAGCAAAAAAAAATCGCCGAACCGTTCAAAATGCCGGACTGCCCTCTCTAACAAAAATAATTTGTTATGTGAGGGAAGGGTATTTTTGTCCAAAATAAGTAAACTTTTTGTCTCGAGGTATCACCTAGAAAACATCACTTTTTGGGGGAGTTGATAGGAAAAGTTGGATGGGGTGTAAGTGGGTAAAAAGGAGGTTTTAGCAATTTTCCCTATAGTAATCTATATAATATGTTATAATATATTAGAGGAATGTGTATTTTAGATAGAACCTGTTACTGTGCCTTAAGCAATGGTTTAAAAAACAGATTGGTGACCCAGAACGGGCACCCCAAAAACCCATCCGGATCGGTGAATCGGCGATCCGAATCAGAAATCGGCCTAATTAGTGGGATTAGGCTTTAAAAAAATCTAAAAAAATTATTAAAATTCATTATAACTGTTGTTTTTTAATAATCCAATAAAAAATCAGGATACTACATTATTAATTTTCCTTTTTTTTCATCAATATGTGAATATTTAGTTTATTTTCTTTGTATGAACTTATTTGAACAAAAATACTTGTTGTATTTTTTTAAAAAATAAGAAATCAGTTTTTTTGACAATAATACTTGTTGTATTTTTTTCTATAAGAACTTTTAATTTTTTTGACAATAAATTTTTATTTTTTATTTTTTTGACAAAAAACTTTTATTTTTTTTGACAAGAAAAAGAATTGATAAGAACCTTTTATTTTTTTTATACGAAACTTTTTATTTTAAAGATAAGAAAAAAAAATTGACAAAAAGCGAAATTGATAAAAACCTTTTATTTTTATTTTTTAGAAAAAGCCTTTAATTTTTTTTATAAGAAAAAAATTTGACAAAAAATTTCATTTTTTTATACGAAACTTTTTATTTTATTGATAAGAAAAAAATGTGACAAAAAGCGAAATTGATAAAAAAACCTTTTATTTTTTGGATAAGAAAATAATTTGACAAAAAAAAGAGAAAAAAAATTTGACAAAAAGAGAAATTGATAAAAACCTTTTATTTTTATTTTTTAGAAAAAGCTTTTAATTTTTTTTATAAAAAAAAAATTTTGACAAAAAAATTCATTTTTTTTATACGAAACTTTTAATTTTATTGATAAGAAAAAAAATTGACAAAAAGTGAAATTGATAAAAACCTTTTATTTTTTGGATAAGAAAATAATTTGACAAAAAAAAAGAGAAAAAAAAATGATAAAAAGCGAAATTGATAAAAACCTTTTATTTTTTGGATAAGAAAATAATTTGATAAAAAAAAAAAGAGAAAAAAAAAACCTAGCTCAAGAACCAACCCCACATACATCTCACCATGAGGAGATGCAATAACCAATAGGGCACTTACAACTTAGTGTTTTTAAAATAGTTAACAAAATATATAATATATGAACGTTTTACAAAAATACCCTTGACTACGGGTCCTGACCGACATCATGACTCGAAGAACCACGGGCGATTTATTGTATAGAATTGCCAGTTTCCCGGTTCTTTGCCACGGGATGACCGATTCCCGATTCGATTCAAAAGAATCGGCCAATGCCGCGAATTTTAAAACTTTTAAAGAGTTTTTTGAACCTTTGTTTTGAGAAATGTCATTTACTCTCTCCCGTACTCGCTCCCGCTGCTGACAATACTTCCATCAACCGTCAACATATTTAAGACTAAAATATTCACTTTTCACACTCTCGCTCTCTGGTTACTCTAATATTTTTTCTTCTCAAAAGCACCCATTCTTTTCTCTCTTTTGAAACAAATTTAGACCTGCAAACCCATGGAATTCGTCCAACTAAGACTCCAGAGAATCCAAAACAAGGATAAAAATAAACAAAAAGAAAAAACTGATTTTTAAATGCGGCCATTTTTTTCTATCTTGAGAGCACTACCATCTTTTCAACCTTGATTTCTTCAAGGGAAAATATGACGCTTTACAAAAACCTGCTCTTTGCCTGCTAGTGAAAAATGAGAGAGAAAGGCGCTTCAAAGGGGTATCTTTGGGGATCTTGAGAGAGGTTTCATCTGTAATTCCTTTATATTTCGTAAATAATGTGGCTTCAGTAGAGTTTAAAATGGGGCAATTGCAAAAAAATTTTCCCTCCCTTTAAACTTTGGTGCTTGATATTTTTGGCGAGTTGCATCTCTAAGGATAATCTGATTTTAGGGTTTGAGGTTTACAAAACTATTTTTATACCCAAATTAAAGCTTGTGATCATGGGGAAAGCTTTAGTGGTCTGATGCTTGCATAGAGAGAGAACACGCAGGGTTAATGATGTGATGTTAATGCTTACAAGGAGAGAGGAACCTTGAGAGATAGCACGCACAAAGATCTCCGCCAGATTGCCATTGCCATGGGCAATTGCGGCGACTGGAAGAGAGGCGAAAGTGTTAGACAAAGATGGAAAAGCAAGGGTTTCAACGGGTGGAGATAAGTGGCATAAAGGTCTTAAAAAAAAAAATTTAAGACCTTCACGTGGCTTATCTGGTAAATTGGGTTTAAGATTTTACAGACGGTCCATAACACAAATACACCCTTTTTTTCACGGTGTATCTAAAATACACACGATCATTCCCCATTATATTATATAACATATTATATTATAAACAATTATCACAAATATACCTATATTTAATAAATAAATAAATAAAAATTCAATTTTCAAAACCTTGTCTACACCTTTTTTCACTATTTTATATTTTTTTTGGACCAAAATGACGTTCACGGTAGTCTTTTTACCGTAAAGACCATTACGGTAATTTAAATATT